AATGGAAAACTGCCCGCAAATGATTCTAGAAATATAAGCAAAACTGATAAAAATTCATTTTCTATGACTCAAAAAATCAGTTCTATCAATCCATAATACAAGCATTCCACCAAACATATATCTTGGAAATTAACTGCAACATCGCTAAAAACTTACAACATAAAGCTCGAGACATGAAAACGGAGGAAAACATAGGAGAGTTAGCTTGCGATGCAGGTAAAACGAAAATAGAATAGTAGAGTGAGAATATCCATGATGTAATTAATGGAACGAATAAAATGCAGAGTTTAAGTTATCTTTGCCAGTTTAAATTTAACAATTTCATAGGAAAGAAAGATGAAGGAAAAGCAAAGATTAAGATAATATAAAAAAGTAAAAAGCGGTTTTAAGAAACAAATAAAATACCTTCATATTATTTATCAATAGTTACGGAACCGCTTCGACGAGTACGGAACAAGAAGAGAACGACCACAATAGCTCATGATGAAAAGAGATGAAGAAATAGACTACCCGCCGAATTTCCTGTAGTACGACTGCATCCAGAAAAAGCCTAGATGTCAACCTAGCAGGCTAAAACATTTCCTATTGATCCAATAAATTAATTTGTTCGCTTCATCAACAGCCTTATAAAACGATATGAAATCGTAGAAAAATGGAAAAAAGGAAAAATTTACAGTTCGAAAGCAATATTGCCCATAGTTTTATTTCCGTTCGTCATTGGCTCAGTGGATAGATGAATAGGCCTACTCTAACGAAAGCGAATGTACGGCTGAGGGATGCTGCTACTTTCAGGAACTGATTGGCGAATAAAAAAAGATAATTCATTTGCTCTTCTCAGACAAATCGATATTTCGGTGCTACTTATAGCTAATAAATGAAAGCAGTGGAGGTCGAGGATTACTTGTCAGAACTTCAAAATCACACCAACTCCAATTCTAACTTCTAAATATATTCGACAATAAAAATATTTACATAACAGTTAACCGAACACGCCGCATAATGCTGCCATTGTAAATGAAGTCAGTATACAAAAAAAGACTAATAATCATTTCGAAATAATTCGGAATATCAACGCGCTAATCCACTTTGTGATAATAAGCGTCCGTATTATCACAACTTTAATAAATAATTACACAATGTATTACTATAACAATTAGAAATAGAGATTATCTAACAGTTGCAGAAAATAATCTGTAAGTTAATTATATCACGTTTTGAATCAAATAACTATTTAAAAAATAAATACAATGGAGCTTTTCCGAATGCTGCACAATCAAAGAAGTGATTTTGTCGCATGCCATAAATAAATTCAAAAAGAAGACAGAAAAAACGAAAACACGAACACACATAGAATGCACTCACAGAAAGTTGGACCGACATATCCGTTGCAGGTGAAATCACACTCACCATCAGCCGCCAAGATATCCCTTTTTACTCCCAATGTACGCGATTTCTGCATATCGTACGTACCAACTCGATTTCCATGTAAGCGTAACTGTCCCGCTGAATAGGTAAATGGGTTCTGCAATAACAACAACAAAATCTTCAAATAGTGAAATTTTTTTTTTCTTTTTAAAATATTTCCACCGCAATTCTGAGGATGCAGAAGGGCAAGAAAAGATTTGCAGCCACTTTTTTTCTCTTTCTTCTACCTTTCAATTTTAATTCTAATTTGCAATTCTTTGAATCATTCTCTCTGCAATAGTTTTTCCTTTTTATTCAAAAATAAGAAAAAATTAACGAGCAAAAATTTTGAGATTACAGAAAGACGTTATGCACGGATTACTCGCAGATAAGCTGCCAAGCAGACGCAACCAATCCTTCCGCTTTCCCAGTTCTCCTTCACTTTCTTATATTAATGTTGCACTAAATGAATTTCTAAAGCTATGCTAACATCATCATGCTTCCCTTGAGCACTAGCAACTACACTGGCCTCAGCGCTCTTCTGAATCCTATTATCTGCAACGTTTGCTTCAGCAGTTGAGATAATTTCGCATTCTTTTGAAACTTTAGACATGATGTTAACTATCACTTCATCGTCATCGCTGTCGTTTAGCGCTCGAATCTGTAAATGTTATCTTATTTCCACGTTCTCCTTCATTGACTCCACTAACAAAAAAAAAAAAACATAAATTAATCCGCAATGGAATTCATATAATTTAAAAAGTAAAAAAACTTCGGACCTAGAAGTTTTCAAATGATTGAAATTCAAATTCTTCGTCGACTAAAAAGATGAGGTGATAAACACTCCTTAAATTGACATAATATATTACAAAAAGTAACGCAATGCAAGCAAATCATGATTCAAACAAATCTGCGATGGTTGACGCTTATTAATATTGCCAGACATTGACTCATCAAGTCAATACAATATAACCACCTCCTTGCGATAGTGTGAGACGGAAAATCATTTATCACGATCTTTTCAGATGCGCTACAAAAGAACTCATCCTATAGAATAATGATCTTCTTAATAAGAGAGAGGGAGAGTCGAGACGTGTCGAAGTTCATCTCAGACTTTTCTTCATTAGATGATATTGGATAAGATGTAAATTCGAAAAGTTACGTAGTAAAATCTTACTAACAGAACCAATTTTGATCACCACCCATACATAAAAAACTTAAAAATGAAGTCAAACAAAACCCTCTTTATCAAATATTTAGTTTTGTCAATCAAAGGAGATGCCCACTCATGCTATTCAGCAGCATCTTTCAATCCATTTCAGCATGAATGACACTTCTTATATTTTCATATACCTACAATATCTTCCTGAAAAAACTTCGGGCATAATTAAGTTGCATTGGAAGAGACCATATTTTCAAATTATTTAGGAGTTCTTCTCTATTAAAAGTGGAACTGATTAATTTTGGAAGATTTCAAATTGATTCATTCCACAGAAGAAAGTTGGTTGAATAAAAAACACTGTGGCACAAAAGCTTTTCAAAACATCTATCTTGTACCACTGCAATGATTAGCTTGCACAGCACTACCCCACTCACATATCGTTGAGAGAATTATCAAACACTGAAAAAGGATCACAAAGCTTTTTCGTATCACTTCAGCTCAATCACTGTAGGTCAAACACTTGGAGAGACAATAAAGACTCTAAAGTCTAGAAGAATTTTGTCTATTTTGAATTCTTCTAGACTTTAGAGTCTTTAATATGGCGTTATTATTGTCTCGAAAAAAATAGCAGAACACTGTAAAATCCCAACAAGAATTGATATGGTAGGAAAAAAATTACCTCTTGAACTGAATTGCCTTGTGTATAAACATTCTTGAAACCGTTACTTTTCACGTGCCCACTTTGATCCTCCCCAATATACATATTTGAAGAGCTGAAGATATATGTGAAACCTGATTTAATATATTTAATTGAATGCGACACTTACAACTCGAGAAAATGCAATATGTCATTCATCTGATAAATATTAACCATATAATTAATATCAGCCATATACTTGAATATTTGCCTAAGAAAAACACTGCACTTCACAACAAACATACCGACACAGACCGCTTGCACGCTCATCCTCATCAATGTATGCTATTTTGTTCGTATTCACGCAGCCATTTTCAATTGATGATACCGAATTTAACTCACTACAACAAATCAATGTTATTGCAAAAAAGAAAAGCGTAACTATTGCCTCTAACCATATTTTACTATTCGAAGTTTAAAACATATTTCTCATGATAAGCAATTATGTACACATATGCCTTGTTCCAAAATATACAGTAGAACTTACTTGAAGCTGATAACAACACCAGATGGCTTACTGACCGTTTGTGTTGCACGTGAAATGTCTCCTAAAGTACATCTATCGTTAGCATTCATAATGTCACCGTTGGCCACTGCATGGGTAAGTTTCTGTTTAACTGCAACTTTAGACGGTCCATCTGAAGCCAAATTGATTCTTAAGAAGCCTTTGGTGTTGCAATCATTACTCCCATTAATATTTTTATATTTGGTATACTTCGACGGTAGACGTGTTTCCCAAGTTTCCTGAAACAGTTCTTGCGGTTAATTAGAGCTTCAACAGTAAAAATTCTGATAATAATTTTCACAGGTATGTTGGTCTATTTATCGGTTGAAAATCTGGGTATGTGAATGTTACAAAAAGCACATACTGGATGACTAATGAAATAAAACAGCAGGAATAGATGTAACTCAAAGGATCACGATCATTCGATAATAGCTGTGCAATTTCAACTGCAAAACTGCAAGCGACTCGAAACAGCATAAATGGAATTATCATATTTCGTTGTAATTAGGTATTAAACAGCTCGAAACTGTTAATATTGTGAGACATAATTACATCAAAATTCGCTATCTAATAATTTTGAGGATAAGCACACATGGGCTAACTAGTTTTCTATCTATTTCCATTAAATACTTCATAAAAAAAGTTAGATCAAATGTTGGAAAGGTAAAGAAATTGATTATCGTAATTATTGCTATTTGAAATAACTGCCAATACCGAGTCTGTATATTTGATGGCACATAAAAGACATGTCTCTCGGATTACTCACATATTCATTTAAAATTAGAAATTAATGGCTGGAAGAATTAAAGTTCTTCTTCTCTTTCCCTTTTTTTGTCTAAAATATTTCACGTTTAATCAAAGCATTTCTAAAACTGCATCACAATCCACTTTTACCTGTCTGATTGTTTTCTTACTTGTCTACCTATTTGTTTCTTACATCTTTCTCTTGGAAGTTTTAGCTGATATTAGAAACATGTGTGAGTACTACATAATAGCAAAGAGAAGCTGAGTAGCAGTTCATGCTGTTATGTGTTTTTTTTTAATGCAAATATTGAATATTAATTGCAGTTCGCAAGATTAGTATTAAGGAATCAAACAGTCATATTCAAAAAATATACAAACCAGTTCAATAATTCTATTTGTCAACACATGTAGAAATCTGAGACTCAGCAATCAAGAATAATTTATAATAGTTAAAAAAAACAACCAAGAAAATTTCATAAAAATTTCAGACAAAAAAATTCCTCGCATTAATTCTACATTAGGATCCGCTGATGAAGCAATAAAATGGTCATCACTGTATAACTTGAAACAGAATTAAAAAACTGAAGTCAAGAGAAATAACACTAACCGATTCGGTACACTTTTGCAGAAATTCGCGTGCACGTGACGTGGTAGCAGCTTCTTTAATAAATACTGTTACTGCACGCTGTTGCTCTCCCTTTTCTGAAAGAAAAAAGAAATAGGACAGATCGATGAGTATTCGTCATCATATAATATGGATATACTGACTTTCTCAAGAGTTCACGCCGTTTTCTCTGTGAACTATAGTGCACTAAAAAACCACAGTAAAGTTAGGACATATCTCTCCACTAAAAATTCTGGAGAAGAGAATTAATCTATTAATTCGAAAAGAGTCGCACAGGAATCTTGATCCATCGATCATGTCGCGCATAAAATTATACATCTGCCGAATCGACAAATACAATTTCATATATAATAAAATATAACAAAAATAATGGTTTAAAACCATAGAGCTTAGAGGAAGAAATTAACTATAGTTAATCTAAAAATTACATCTCCTAAACAGTTATTCATCACACTTGCAAACAACTTCATACAGAAACACGATCAAATGATTAAAATCCTGTCTTACTTTACTTGACTCATTTCTCTACATTTATATCCTGAAATCATCAGTGACCAGAATTATTTCATTTCTAATCAGAAGAACCTCTTTCTTAGAATTATCAAGTTCATTATTTCCAAAAAATATTTTAATAGCTAAAAAAATTGTTTACGGATGCGAAACCTAATAAAAATCATCACTAGATCAATTTTAATAATCAAAACTGATAAAGCAGACTACAATGTTACGTTAGACATGCGAAATCGAACAAAAATAAGATCAAGAAAATAAATACGGAAAAAAGCTATACAGAATAAGTATAACAAAGCTATAAAGCATGAATTCCTTTGAAATTTGCAAAAAAGAAGGTGAGAAAATAGGAATACTGGTTGAATGAAGTCGAAACACTATCCTATGACACCAAATTAATAAAAGTAAAACTAAATACTACTTTTCTCGTACATCCAAGAACATTTTTAAAGCAACAACAATCTTCAGAATTATTACTTCTAAGATATAACGGAACATTTTTATCCCTTCTTCACAAATTGTTTTATAACACCTCAATCTTTGGTCTTTTATAAACTCTTTTTTTAGATAAATAAAATGAGAAATTTTATAAATATCAAAACAATTTTGAATTAATTTGAATGAATTACCAAAAAATGTCAGATTTACTCAATCGTGCAAAAAACGATGTCAAGCTACATAGCAATAACCTGAAAAATCGAAACCTATATGTTTCGTGAAATGTTAGAATCAAATTTTGATCTCAAAATCAAATTGAAGGAAGAATCTTGAATTTAATAGAACTAGTCATAATCTTTAACTCTGTAATTTCTTGATCCATAAACCCCACTAACTGAAAGATCATTCCAGAGTTATAATTGGTAATCATAATTTTCGTTTTGAAAACTTAAAATAAGTGAAGAAATATTTCATGTTATTAGTGTATTTATAATTAAAAAGCGATATCATCAATAATATTATTACACCTTTATACACATAATACGCAGAGAGTAGTTCCAAATGTAAGCAATTTCAGGGTAAAGAGAAATGACAGAAGCAAATGAACGCAGAGAGCTGAAGGTTTTCCTACCCTTCCTCACCACCATCATCACCGACAGCATCGCCACACTCCCTCCTCCATATTTTTTTCTCTAGATTTCAAAACACACACACATACCTGTAGTAAATAGAACACTATAAATAATGGTGGGCAGAGGCAGTTTAAACACATTAGCATTCGTTGCTCGTTGAATCACATTAAAAAAAAGATTGATTTAGTTAGTTGACAGTAATGATTAAAATGACAAGTATTCTTTGCATTCTTACATTAAAATACAACGTATGTTTCACCAGTTCTGCTGAGAAAATAGATGAGAAGCCACTGACTTCATCTCGACGAATAATTCTTTAGTACTTTTTCCGTCTCCTTCTCAGTTGATCTGTTACAAAAAGGAAATGACTCCCATAATTAAACAAGAATTATTGATCGATGCATGGTACAAACGACAATATTTGGTTTCCATATAACGACGTTGTATCATCGTTCTCTGTTCTTCGTTTTATAAAGTACAAGGAGTGCCATTCTGCATTTTCGATCAAACATAATACTTCTCCTCTTCCGTTGCAACTTTTAATTTGATTCAATTAAGTTTGAATTCAATTTTAAATAAGTAAACTTTCAGTTCGAGAATATCGAACAGTATAAGTTTTTTGTCTCCAACATATTTTAAAGCCAACATTCCCTTTCTATAGTCACTAATGACTATTCGTCTCGCATATCTCGTTTATATCCGATGTTTATCTGCAGATCTCCGGTAGGACACAGCATAAGAGCCAAGAAATAGATGACATAAATATTTTTCGACGTCTCAATAGAGTGAAAGTTATTCAGTGCGAAATATTGTACCTTTGCAGATAATAAAAATATCCCTTCAATATCTTTTCTTCTCTCCCGTTTTACATTCATTTTAAATAGTAATATCTTCTTTCATCAACATAAGCAGTATCTTGCACAATCTCATTTAGAGGCATAGCGTTGCTCAGCAAAGCTACACTTATTATCACAACTATCCCTCTGAAGCTGGAAAAAATCGAAGCGCAGAAATGTTTTCCTCATTAATGCACCACCTTTCTCCATCATCCTCAAATGTTCTTCAATTCCAAATTTTAAACTCATCTCCATATTTACTTTTCCCTACTTTACATGCAACTGAAATTTCATAAACGTGACGTCACAATCCTCCCATGCATTTCGTCCCTATATATTTCCACAAAAACTTTCGTGATTCTCATTTCATTTAATAAGCTTGTAGCTTATCGCAAGCTCTAAAATTCATTCACTTCATGCATACATTTTCAAACGAATCTATCTTCTTCCACTTTCTGCTTCAAATCTTTCTTTTTTTTACAGGATAATCGATAGCATTAGAAGCTTATGAAATTACTAATTGTTTTTTACTATTTTGCATCTCTTTAAACAAAATTATTAGTGATATAAGTTTAGCCTGTGATTCACTCAAAAATTTACTTACATTTTAATTATCTGATTATCCTAGAAATCAGTTAACAACTTATAAAAACAGTAATTGTTATAACTAACCCAATATCAAATCTTGAACTACATCATTCCTGATTGATTTCACAATAGCACAAACAATCCTTGCTTAACAGTGATCGGATAAACAGCTTGTAAAAAAAATAAGTAAATAATAACTTCAATTTTAATTTGTTAAGCGATTATAAAGATACTTTAGTTGAAATATTATGAAAATCAGAATAAGCGCTTTTAACTGGATGAATCTAGCAAACATAAAAATATAAAGTCGGCTAAGATTTTACATAGGTTTCCAACTCTAAAATTCTGTGAAGTTTTTAATTCCCGTACTACCATAAATTTCTAACATATATTCGCAAAATATTCTTAGAATTTTTTTCAAAAAATAATTCTCTATTAACATAAAACTGAGACTTTTTTATCAGCTGTACCTACAAAATAAATAACATAATTCGGTATAAAATCGTTCTTGAAGTTTCAAAAATCTGGTTAATATTTGAAATAATTTTGTGATCTGTTCATTGATTTGATCCTTAAGAACCATTCGATACAGGCCCTCACTAAATTTTAATTGCAGGTTTAACTTTCAATTCCAACACGACACTGCTTCACAACTTTCATTAAACGAATAAAATAAAGGACAAATCAACAGATGAGAAATTCATGAAATCATCTTTTTAAATGCATCCCGCATTCTGGCTACTGGTGGTGCCAGTCTGTTTTCGATATGGTTTGTTTACTAATCCTTGGCTGTTACTACTCATCGCAAACTCACTTTTCATTGCTTTTTATACTTTTGAAAAATTCATAAAACCACCTTCATCAATATATGGAGATGTGAACAACAATAATACCAACAATCTTGGTAACCAAGTGATGATCGGAAGAAATCAAGAACTACTCTTGGAATAGAATCATTTTGAAATCAAATATTTCATTATTAATGTTTTAAGTAACAATTTGAGCTATGGTTAACAATCAATAACTTAAAAGTAATTTAAGCGTACTTAAATCTTAGTCAAAAACTTATTTGTAATTTGCCTGACTTTCCTAATATTTCTTTTAAACAAGTAACAATCAAGTTTCCGGATAAGGGCATAAAAAAGAAATGCTAAGTATTAGACGAACTTTAAATGGTAACTTAGTCAAAGCCATTAACCTGCAACTTATTATATCACATTATACTCCGAGCATGTCACAAGTGCAGATAATTCTTTTTATGCCCTTAACACTTGGTTGCTGCTTGTTCCAGAATTTCTTTTTCGATTTTATCCATATATTATTCTACTATACATTTGATTCAAACTCACTTCGGTGTCATTCTGTCAATTATCTTACATCCTACAAGTTAAAGCAAAAAATCAGTTAGAGCAGAAAAGTTAAAGCAAATTTGTTCACATTATTTCCTATTAAATTCTAATGTGATCGTCATTCTGCTTTAAATACAATCAAAATATTAGTGGTCCAAGTCATAATAGAATTAAGCATAATTTCAGCAGAATGCCTCAAATGTTACAGTTGTGATGGTCCTGAAGAGTGTGCTGCTCCACGAGAAGAACTGTGCCCCCAAAATAATGAATGTTTTACCGTTGCTCAAAACTATGATACAAAATTAAATGGTAAGTCTGAAAAAAATAAATTATACAAAGAAAACGAAAAAATAAAGCTGGGAGTCCAAGAGCTCATCTCATGAGAGGCTCCAATACACCTTTATTTGCTCAGTTTTCAAAATTTTCTGAAACTTCAAATTAATAACCCTAATATTCCATGAATCCCAACCTCCACATGAAATAAGTATACGTCATCGAAGGATTTGTGTGTTTCGAGATATGACAGAAACAGGAAACCCTACACGACTCAAAATATTCATATGTTCAAATAATCAGATTTGATGATGCTCAAGGTAAGGAAACATTCTTCAAATCCCAATCTACACTACTGAAGTGATGTGTTCACTGAGATTTTTTCAATAAATTAAAACTTTATAGGTTTACGAAAAGGATGCTCACCAACATGCGACCGGGTAAATATTGAAGGAAAATTGTGCAGAACTTGTAAATTCGAATTATGTAATGGGAAAACAGGTAAAGGATACTTTATACAAGAAGGATATCTCACCAGGAACTAGAAATCGAACCAACATACAAATGATATTAAGTCCAATGTGAGTGATCCAACCCTGCCGTCATTTTGACTTCATTCAATAAGTATTGTCAACAAATGCTTTTAAATATTCGGAAAGATACTCGAAGATCAGTTATTACACTATCACATAATATAATGAACCTAAACCTGAGTTAACAAGATGAGGTCAGATTTTCCCGAATAACGATGGAAAAACGGAAATACCATATCAAATAGTAACAGTAATTCTCACATAGCGTGATTTTAGCCAATTTTCATCTAATTTCGATCAAATAAAATGTGGAATTCCATTTCAGGTTTGGGAAAAGCATTCGAAAAACTTGGTGCTTTGCCATCTCGAAGACCTCTCGGTACGTATTCCTGTGATCATATTAGTGTAACATATTTTCTTAGCCTTCAATATTTTCAATAATGATTTGATCACTGCATCCCGCATTATTTTTCAACACATTGTAAAACAATTTAATAAGTGAATTTCAGGTCCCAAAAAAAGTGTTAATGGAAAGAAGAGGACATCTTTACTATTACTGCAGCTATTAGTTTTGATTGATGTAATGTAATACTTATAATTCCATTCTAATTTATGACCTATTTCCCTTTTATTCTTTTATTTCTTTTTCATGTATATTTTCCCCGCGTAATCTAATCTTTTCATTCGCCTCAATATTCTGGAAGCAATTTAAAACTTGTGCATTCTAAGTTCAAGGTAACTAGATAACAAATAGAATTTCCTAAGAATATTAATCAAGATAGGAAAAATAAAGGAAAAATCCGCAACTCATTTTACTTTTCAACTTCCCCAGAACGAATACTTATATTTTAAATTTATAATATCATCTTTTCTTTTGAACGATCAAGCAAAAAATGAAGAAAAGCATAGCGCGGCTTGAATATTGTCACATTAATGTTCTCATTATCACTTAACCACGATTTCATGCAGATATGTTTTAAAACTGCGCTCAACTGCTAGAAAAATGAGCGGTATTCACTCCATCTGTAGTTTAAATTCATGTAAACTAGAGAAACTAGTAATTCAGATTGTTTCTGAGTCCTTCTTTCAAAAAACTATAAAAGCCAAGAAACTGACAAAATTACATATGATTTTGCCTTGTATCGGACCTGTAATATGAAAATTTTGACAATCTGGTCAATATCAATAAAAGACTGTAACAAATATGCATTATATTCTTTGTTTATAGTATCGTAATTATCGTGAATAATCTTTTGGCGACAAAATTTCTAATCCAAATTTGCAATTCCACAAAAAAGAAATTTTTAATCTCTGTCATTAGTTCTTACTTTTCAACCATTAAAGCAATTATTATCCTCAAAAACATACTAGAAATTTATTAACAATTATACATTTTCGTGACTTGTAAACACTTTTCTTCGACGAAATGGAGAGATCCCATAATAAAAAACTATCAATTTCAACTTAAAATACTTATTGAATTAAAATAATGCACTATGAAAAAATTTTCTCATCAAAAAACAAGGCAATATCTCAGTAGCTACGACTACAGCTCTAATACACGCATTTGTTTACTTCAAAACAACATAAGTCAATTATGAACTACAGAAATCATACCAAAATCAAATGTCTACTACCGATATTTTTCATTAAAAAATATAATATATGAATAGGGCAAAATATATTTCTAAGCAAGATATTATGTGCCAATGTTTTATGCATTCTTTGTTACTTTTTCCTAATGCAGGTTTGTTCCATAAGCTTCTAGGATAACCATTTCTACTACCGGACCTTTACGATCTTCAATATCTCTTCCTTCAGTTCTCTTTATTTCTTTAAATCGTGAAAATACTTGGTAAAAAACTAACCAATATCCGCCTCCCGTTGATTCAGCTCTGCTTCACGTCGAAATTGTGCCAGTAAATTATCTGCTTCTACTGATAGTCCAGTATTTTCTCCTGCATCACTCAGACGACGACCACGATATTCCGCTATTTTTTGCGATTTCTGAAAAGGTTATATCCTGTTGGTATCAAAAAGCACTCAAATGTATATAATTCTGAAATTTCAAATATAAGACTTACCTCTGCATTTGTATTCACCCACATATTTGCTAACAAATACTTTTTGAAAATAACGGTATTTGATAAATAGATGTAATGAATTTGATTCTTTTTCTTGGTCAAAGCTGTAGAATTAATTCTAAAGACAATAAAGGAAATGTTAACGAAGTGAAGTACGGATACAGACAGGGATATAATGAAATAACAGCGGCGGCACAAAGTGCTCAAACAATACAAAAGAATTATTTAAGCTTGAGCCATCGAACTCTTAGCTACAAGCAGGAAAGAAAAATTGAGAATAGTTTCCAGTTGAAGTTTCAATAAAACCTGCGAACAAGCAACAAACGATTACACATCAAATGACACCAGCGATACTTTCCCTGTGACTTTACAACCTCAAGAAGTACCACAGGTAGATGTACTACTGATTTCCATTATTGCAGTATTATTCCCACACCGATATCCATAATATTATATGGATGCGGAATTACTGCAGTAATAGAGTTGATGAGTTTGAAATCTGCTAACCTTTTTTTTTCTTTGAAGACTGCCATATTGCGGTTTCGCCGCAGTATTCAAAAGATTTCGGAAATCGTCGTCATCCAAACTTCGCAGTGATATGGCTGAGAAAGATGAATCGTTCGTGTACATATTATTCATCTGGAAGTTTTTTTCTAATCTAAAATCATTATTTTCGATATTTTCTCCAAACAGGAGTTTAAACTCTCTTACCAATAACTAAAGTTCCTAAAATGGCCTTTTAACACTATTAAGAAATTGGATAACTCGTTCATCTGACAATCACTTACTGGATATCATATTTTTATGCGTTTTCTGAAAAATGATTACCAATGAGAGGAAAAATTGCTGGAATATTTCTTAATGGCTATATAACTGTCAAATTCATTTGTCCTTCAAATGTTTGAATTACAATTAGCTTTCAAGTTGTTTAATACTGCAATTTGAAATTCATGAAAACATTTTGAAATTATAAGAACTGTGTGTAAAGCATGATTTCATTAATATTTTTCTCTTATTGATTCCTTCCCGTTGTTCACTTCATGTTAGCCACCCAAGGTATTGTCCATTATATATGAACCTCGATCAGTAGTTTTTTCACTTGACATTCCTTATTTTCCTTACCTTTGCAACTCACATAGTTACCAGTAACTTGTCAATA